GTAGTAGTACGTAGTAGTAGTAGTAGTACGTAGTAGTAGTACGTAGTACGTAGAGTACGAGTAGAGAGAGAGAAGGAGAGAGAGAGAGAGAGAGAGAGAGAGAGAGAGAGGGAGCATCAAGGTTTTTCTAGTAGTGGGATTGTTCTCGATCTATATGATGCAACAACTATATGGGCACTCTTGGTTATTTGTGTGTCACCGTTCTTGAATTCTATGGAGGCAAAAATACTAGTGTTGTTCTTCGATGCTGGTGGTTTCCACTCTTCATTGATACGATAATAATAGATTGGGCATCCTCAACTGCTATGGTAGAAGAAGGGCCATGGGCCTTCTTGGTTGCTACTTGCTAGTGGTAGGATGTCATTTTTGGCTGCTAAGGTGGAAACAACATGGGTGTCCCTGGCTGCTTGTGAGACATTATTCTCATTTATTATTATGTAAAGACACATGCTGATGTGTGGGTGTTCTCGGTTACGGTCGCTGGGGTGTTGTTCTTGGCTTCTTGGGATTGAGAGCGAGATCAGGAGCTAGTGACCGTGAAAGGCTAGAAGATGCCTATCATAGGGAGCACTATCCCTACAATGCATATGTCGGGGATTGAGGACCCCATATGTTAGGGATCGATATCCCAATCTTTTGGGGATCTCGACCCGACCTTTTGGGGTTTTGCTGATCTTGCTTCCAACCTTAAGGAGTATGTATAGTCTATGATTATAAATAATCTTTAAGTAGTTATTTATAGCTAGCATGCAATTCAACTATGTTAAAAGTTATACTTGCATTGTTAGCTGGCTATAAATGAAAAAAGCAATCAATCTGGTTGTTATCTTGGTATTTAAGGTGGGGATCAAGATTCCAAACGGTGGGGATTGAGATCCCATAATTCAATAATCGAGATCCCTTTCTCAGTGCTCCAGAACAAGATTTCGAAGTGGGATCCCCACCTAGATTTGGGAGATCCCAATAGCTATGACTTGGACGGTTGTGTTCGGGTTTACTTGGCTTGCACTTGACCTGGTTGGGATGGGTCTGATTTGTGGTTGACCTGGTCAAACACACACACACACACACACACACACACACACATATATATATATATATATATTACTTATATTATAAACTATGTCACAATACTAGATGATACATATAATTTTTTATTTTATATTTTGACCTGGCAGGCTGGGTTAGGGGTCAATTGACCTTGATCCAATGTGGTTTGGATTGACCATGGACTGTGCGATGTTATGTCCAGGTAGGCCCGGCTCGGACCTAATGCTGTGAGACAGCAGGTGTTCACAGCTGTCATTTCAGGTAATACAAGGTGGTTTTGATTTTTGAGATTGTTCATGAGGTCCCATAGGGTGTTGGCATATGGTGCTAGGGTGCGATATTGTTGGTTATTTATGAGGGTGGCCCTCTCTGGAACCATCATCAAAGGACCTAGATTTAGGCCTTCTTCTAACTACCATGTGACCAACTATAGCTATTCTATTGTTCCACCCAGCTTCCTCCTCATTCTATCTAGAGCTGTGCTTTTCTAAGCATGGTCGTTCTCTATTCCAATCATTGATCCATATTATAATTTTGCTAAACCTCCCTAATCTCTTCTATCATATCTGTGGGTTGCTCTGAATCTTCGAGTTTTTTCTTTTCTTTGGGTATGCTTAGATGCGTTGATGGGGCTGTTGCATCCTAAAACACTGGAAAGGAACCTGAATGCCTCATCTTTAAATTTTAAAAAGTTCCATCACAGGGGTTTTATTGCTCTTTGATTAGTTATCAATGAAGAGTAGTTAGAAAGTTGTCAGGCAATGTCTTAGTCCCTCCTTTTTTTTTTCTTTCTTTGTTGGGCATTGGAATGTTCAGACTCAAGCAATTTTTTTTTTTTTTAAAAGTCATATTAGCATTCTTCTCTAGCTAATTTTATATTTTTCTTTCATATTCACATTAATCTGTTATGGTATATTGTTTAACAGGACTAAAACTACTGAGGTGACGACATCAGGAAAGCTTACTTCTGGGAGAACAGAGGTACAATATTGTAACTTTGGATCAGTTCTGGACATCTCTTTTGAATGTGCATACAGTTTGTAAGCATCATTGGTTTTTATTCTTAAATTAACATGGAATCCAGTTATATGATAGTTAGGATTATGCTTAAGTCCCCCTTATCAGTATGATTTTCTCCATTTTGGAGATGCTAGATGCTGGGAATGGAGAGGACTGCAACCTTGTCTAGCCACCTGGACTATCCTCTTAGTTTTGTTCATGCTTGACAAGTGACTTGAGATATACACATGATGTAATCATGAGTCTTTTTTGGCCTATGGAAAGCGTCATGTTTGGTGGCATGTGGTGTAGTAGATCCCCTGGTTGTCTCTCGACCCCCTTATGGGGTTCTTGTACAGTCTTGCCTGAAGCTACGAGTCTTTTAGCATAGGCTCTTTTGTCTTTGTCAATTATCCATGCTCATTTTGTGAGGAACCTTATTATCCATCCTCATCATTCTCATCATTAGTAATATCATTCATTTTCCATGAGAAGTGGGGTTTTTCTTTACTACAAGTGCATTATTGAGAAGAATAACTGAAGGAACACAAAGTACTGGAAGGTTGAACATTACAAAACATCACATTTATATGTGAGAATACAATCTGCTCAGGCTGTTAGACTAAAGAGGCATCTCAGTCTAACATCTGGATTTGAAATTCAGTTCCCCAACGGAAGCGGTGTGTATTGATAGTCAGGGGGGAAATACGTTCATATGTGCAAGGATCCACAAACAGAAATAGTTGCTGATATTGGTGTATATTTTAAGGCGATCCATTGGTCTGGAGCACGTCTTGAATATCATAGATTGTGCCTCAAATTCGGAAAATGTTTTACTTTGCCAGTTAATCAATCTGTGTGTAACTTTGAACTGCTTACAGGTCTGGGTTTCGGTTCTAATGTTAGTGTTGACCTCCTGCATAATGAGGAAGTTCTAAGATACAGCCCTTCGAACTAGGATATCCTGTTTGCCTCTGCCAAAATTCAACCAGCGTGATTCTGTCATTTACCCATTCAGCCCATTGAATCACCTCTAGCTCCACAAATAAATTTTAAATCAAAGTTTTATGTAGTTTTGAATGTTTATGTTGTACGGAGGCACCATGACTATCACTAAGTTTAATTTATTTTGGTAAATTATATATTCAGTTCAATTTTACACTAATTCAGATCATGAAGGATGAAGACCAAATGTTTACATGCCTATGCCCTGGTAGCACGTTAGTTAGTCATTGTTACCATGATGTTCTCCTGAATGTGCTAAGAGGAGAGTGATGCATTAGATTTATCCCATACCGTTGCCAAGAGTGCAAATGGAAAGTGTTGGAACATATACTAGGATCCATATGATCGTAGAAAAATTATGACCATAAGTGTTACCATAGCCCAATCAATTCATAGACTGATATAGAGAGAGCATGAATGCAGTTTGAGTCAGACTCATGTCATATTCTGGTGTATTTAACTCTCTTGCCATCACTGTCCATTCAATTGGACGTTCTTGTGGCCATATTTATGTATAACAAGAAAGCACTTGTGAGTCCAGATTTTCTATGTTTATATGAATTATACCATGCATTTCCTGATTGTCATTGTATGGTCTTCCTACTTCCCTCAAACATGCACATGCCTATGCATTCGTACAAACATGCATACACATGGATATTCACTAGACCACAATGTTCCAAAAAACGCCAGGCAGCACGTAGGTGGCCGGAGGTCCAGGCCGTCCAGCGCCTCAGGTTTTCGGGCGGCCCAGGTGGAAGAACAAGGTTAGGAGTGTCTGATCCAACTGTTTAAGGTCCCAATTCTTTGTAAAAACTCAAATATGCATATTGAGGCATAACATATTAAGAATGCATAACATATAGTCCATCCATGGTCCATACGCTCCATACCATTAGTCCATAGTCCATACTCCATACACAGTAAAAAAATGCATAGTGAGGTCTGGTCCAAAGTATCTGAGATTTGAGCAATTAGTTAATAACACATTAAGCAAAATGGAAAATAGAATCCAGCATTCAAAATTTTCTAGTTCAGCATCAACTCATCATCAGGAAAAAGGAAGAAATAACACATTGTCCATAGTCCACATACGTTCCATGATTCCATACTCCATAGTCCATACACATAAGAGGAGAAAAATAAAAAGGAAGGAAATATAGACTTGAAGACTCTAGAGTCTTCATCATTAGAAAATGTAGGGTCAGTTGCATTGTATGCATCGGAGTTGAGCCCATCATCATCAAAGTCATATCCCTCCTTAACATAATGGTCATCCTCCTCTATTTCCTTCTGAATCTGCCCCCTTCCTTCGCTTCATCAGCCTTCCTTGTCCTCTGTGAAGATGATCTAGTGGCCCGAGGAGGGCCGGCTGCTGCCTCTGAGGCCTCCATGACTATATCCCATAAAGTTAATCCGTCATGCCCCTTGACCCCATCATCATTAACCAACCACTATGGTATTGTCCCTGTGTTTTGTTCTAAGGGGGTTTTTCTTATCTCCATTAGCAAATCTCTCCTTCAAGTATCGATTGAACTTCACATAAACTAGTTCCTTTAGCCTCTTTGATTCAAACTTGTTTCTTTTCTTTGTATGAATCTATCTGAAATATTGTTAACACATACAATAAAATGAAATGAATTAATAATTTAATATTAGAATTGACATAGTAATTAATAATTACTAATACAAATTAGTAAATTGTAAACTATAAACCAATAAAATAATTGAATTATTTAAACTACACCTAAGTAGTATAGTGAGTTAATAACAAACGTACCATCTCAAAAGTACTCCAATTCCGCTCGTAGGTGGATGATGTAATAGTTAGGCTCAAGATCCAGATGGCCAACTTTTTCAAGTTTGAAGCACTACACCTTTACCAATTGGCTACAAATTAATTATAAATTATGATTATATATGAGTTATAGAAAACAAACAACAAACATGAAACTTGAACTTGAAGATTGTGTTGAGTATATTATTACTTGGATCAATTTTGGTCCTTTATATTATCATTATTGCACTCCCAAAAGACTTCAATGTGCACTTGTAATTTATTAGTTCATCAGCGTATATAATGTCTTGGATATCCTGATTAGGGACTAGCACATTTAGACTCTAATTAAATCCAATCATAATTATGTCATTTGTCTGTACATTCCTATCAACATAAATAAAGCTGGGTTAAAAAAAAGTCGAAGTTGCTGTTTATCCCACTTCTCATCAATATCTTCCCAACTGGCTTATTGCGGCTCTTATCATTATCCAAATTATAGGCTCTCTCTCTCTTGCAACTTGTCATTGCCTCATATATGAACCCATGGGGGGCTTGTCACTGTCAACCATGAGAATAATTTGATAAGAGGAAAAAAATACCTTAAGAGCACCCTTCACCCCTCACTAAAAAGCCTTAGATAGGACACTATCTCTCACATTCTTCTCTTTCTGATCTTTGACCCATTTGATACTCTCCAATCATCAAAGTTGAGCATCTGTATCAATTGGACTCTTTTTAAATGTATGCTCTCTAGATATAGGAACTAGGTATCAATTCTCGCGACCTTCGGCCTCATTATGTTCCTCGGCTTTGTAAGTCTGTGGATCATACTGAGGGTGAGGGTGTGGCTATGTGAGGTCGATGCAGTGTTTTGCGCATGGTGTCCAAAAGATATGAGGGTAGCTTACTCGCAACAAATTAGTGGCAGCAACATTAGGAGCAGCATTATTCGTGACAACCTGTATAACATGTTGCTCCGCAACCTCCTTGTGCCCTTCTCATTCATATATATATATATATATATAAATGGAATCATGGCCATCATCAGAGGCATCATTGGGCCTTAAAAAAAGCAGTCCCTAAAGGATAATTCACCAACAAATTCATCTGACTTCTTCTCTTCCTGTCACTCCAACTGTCAGTCATAATAGACACCCCATATTGAGCCCATGCATCGTTTCTTTGAAAGAGGCTCTGAATTCTTATAGGGGTTAGGGGCTTCAATCGAGGCCCATATTGCCTCTACCAAGGTGTAGAAGCTTCTTAAGCAAGCCGCATTAAAAGGAATGTCCGCCTCATAAAACCACGAGGAATATATTGAGGAGTTCTCTCTCATCCTCCCTAATTCTATTTTCAATGGTTGTTTGCTTCTTGATTTTTTCACCTGTAACCTCAGGGTCAGGTCGGGGCAAAAAAGTATCCATAGGCCCCCAGATCCAATTGTAACCCCCTTTCCTTTCCTAGACTGGGACATAGCAAGCTGCCCCACCTCATTACCCCTCTCATCCCTCATCTTATCATTCTCATCATCATCATAAACACGAAACCTAGACCTTATCTATGCTATACATGCGTCCTTTTCCTCTTTTTTCTTTTTTTTTACTAAATTCATATAATCTTTAATTTCCTCCCTAATTGCATTAGGGACCTTTTTACATGGGGCAACATCCCCCCCCCGATACCAGCACCATGTTTCTTGAACAGCTTTACACCCCTATTTGTATCTTTTTCACAATAATTGCATCTTTACAATTTTTATCTAGAAGATTCAAGTTATAGCCGTATTTCCAACTCGGATTGCCACTTCAAATAGAACCTGTGGAAGACATCTCAAAATAATAAAAGCAATACCAAATACAAAGTCTTTACACTAACTTGAATTGCTCGATATTCAAACTTCAACTTTTGAGATGTTTCCCAATCTCAAGTTTTTCTTAAAAACCCTCTAATAAGCTTACAAAATCTACAAAATCAAATCCAAACCAAAAGGATGATGTTTGGATTGACTTTTTAAAACATCGAAATACTCGATCGATCTTATGTAAATACAAAAATGTGTCTTCTTTGAGGTTTTTCTCACTCTAAAATGTCACAAAAGGGCCTTCGGTTACATAATAACCTGCCCCCCACCCCCCTCCCTCTTCCTCCTTTATTTTGGCTGGAAAATGATGAAAATGCCCCTTATGACTGGCACGTTCGGACATTTTCTCCCTGGGTGGGCGCCCGGGGACTCACAGCCCAGAGGTGCCATCTAGGCTTGGGTGATGCTCTGAGACCCACCTAGGTGGCTTATTAAAATACTGCTAGTCACATTCCATCCTTTGCATGATGAAAACATAGAGAGAAATAAAAGTATAGAAACGCAGAAAGAGAAAAGATTAGCACAAAATAAGAGAAAATTGGTGAGACAGTGAACAAAGAAATTATCTTTCTTAAAGTGAAAAAGATGGTAAATATCGAAAAGAAAAATAACAAAACAAGATTAATGAGAGTTTGTGAAAAATGGAAGAATGAAGACCGAAGGAAGATGTACGTCAATTCCAATAAAGGAAAGGAAAAGCATGAATAAAAAGAATTTGCAGGATGAAATATTTTCCTTAAATAGATATTTAGGAAATAGATATTTAAGAATATTTTCTTATTTTTATATCTATTTAATGGGCGCCATGTGTCATAATAGTGTGCAACACACATCCATGCACACCATGCTTACAATAATATTAGAGATTCATGCTTGCATATGGTGATTACTTGATCTCCTCTGCACCTCCGTCTCTATTTCAATGGCTTGGCATGGCTTGATCTTTTGCGGACACGCACTTCATGCTGAAAATTTTTAAATATGCTTGGAATATGTTTTGAAGATCAAATACTTTGTAATTGGTACTCATGATCATCCATCAAGTTATGGTTTACGATTTCTTTTTGTGCCTGGACTTTTTAATAGATTCCATTCAGCATAAGTTTGACTTCATCAGGGCAAGATGAATCTGAAGGATTTTTTGAGACCTTCCATGGTGCGAATATTACCATCCAGGTAGAGTTTTTTTCAGAGTTATTGACCATTTATTCTATAATTCCAACAAAAAAAAATGTTGAAGATCTTGCAGTTATACATTTGTGTCATTCCTCTTTTCTTTTATCTTCTTGCATTCTTAGTTGAAAAACCATCATGCTATTTGATAGCAGCCTCCCCATATCCTTAGCCTAATTACTGATAATTCCCACAATAGTATCTACTTATTGCAGATATATCTAGAGGATACCTGCATAAATCATTATGTGCTACAATGGAATTCATTATTGAGAGTGAAAAAGGTAATTTTAACAATTTATCTTGTTCATAACTGTTTTACTTGTTGAGTTTTGTTCATAACTGTTTTACTTGTTGAGTCATATTTTGTAATCGCTAAATTGCTTCACTATTTACATTTTTCTTTTCAGCTAAACTTCTAGATGTTCCAGTTTCCAGTGAAATGATAATCTTTTATATCACTCAAGACACTCAGAGGCACCATTTGCTGCCAGAACTATTATCAGGTTTGTGTTTTATAATTCGTTTTTCTTTTCATCTATTTGCTTCATCGGTTAACTAATAGTGAAGAATAACATATAGATGTCCCATTGATTAGCAGCAGCCTCATAACTATAAAGGATCTACGCTTTTGTTATGCATGGAATATATTATTGCTGTAATACATGTAATTTGGCTTCAAAGGTAATCATCTTTCAACTAAATGGCATAGGTTTTAGTTTTTCATTAGCTAACAATTGTAAGTCAAGCTTTCGCTGTGACATTCACTGGTCAGTAAATTCTACGGAGTAACCTTTTGCTGGAGCAGTCTTTCTCCAGATTAAATAAATATTTACTTAGTGTATTTTGAATTACAATTGTAAGTGTTGTAAGTGATTAACTTCTGTTTGCATATGCGTCTGTGTACCATGCTTCATATTTGGATGTTTATATCATATACATTCACTGAAACACTATTTTTCTTTCCTGTATGACTTTGTGGAGATTTTCAGTTTGTAGCCTACTTGTCTCTTCCCGTTCTGATTATTTCTAAAAGATCAAATTACTGGCAACCGGTCATGTTTACCATATCTAAGGTTGATGAATTTGCATTGTGAGTGTGTATCGTGGACACACACGTTTATTTTGGAGGATTGAATGGAAATGATACCAGGTTGAAAGGCATACAGGGGGAAGAACTTATTATTTGAATAGACAGGTCATGTTGCTGTAGACTGGTAGAAAGGGGTAGCACAGATTGTTCATTTATTAAATGTAGTTATGTATTCTGCATAATAAACCGCACTTAAGGCTGGATATGATGTTAAAATAATATTGGGAGCTATTGCTCTATTTGGGAGGATTGGATGGAAATGATACCAGGTTGAATGGCATACAGGTGGAAGAAATTATTATATGTATCGACAGGTTATGTTGTTGTATGACTAGTAGAAAGGGGAAGCACAAATTTTTCATTATTGAATGTAGTTACGTATTCTGCATAATCAACCGGACTCAAGTGTGGACATGTGTTGTTATAATAAGAGTGGGAGCTATTGCTAAAGAGAATATAGGCAGGTGACCTTGAAAAGAGGGAGTTTACGGTATATCATGTAGGACAAATGAAATGGAGCTTTTAATAAATGATCATAAAAGAACTATTTTCCTTATCTAATTGTACAAGGTATTCTTTTTAGTTCCTACTATTATGTGAGACTCTCTTTATAATTCTTCAGGAAATCTAAAGAAAACCTTAGGGTGGTAGGGGATGGAGATAGAGGAAGAGATTATAGGAGATAGATTTTAGGTTTGAAAATAGGTATAAAGAGAAATTTTTGGTGATAGAGAGAGAAAGGCAGAGATGTACATGGAGATATCGAGAGGAATTGATCTACTATATTTTTGAGAGAGGGGTAGAGAGGTCCATGGAGAGAGATATTAGAGAGATTATTCTATATTTTTGGATAGAGAAGGGGGGTAGAGAGGTAGAGATTGGTTTCTAGATATACTTTTTTGACAGAGGGAGAGATTAATATGTATATAATGGTTGATGCACTTTCTTAGATAGGAGAAAGAAAAACAAAGAGATTCTATTTGCAGTTTTATTTACATAGATTCTGCATAGTCTATTTTATTCATATACTGACAAGCTCTTACAAGCCCAATGTAAATATTTCAGGTATGATTTTTCTCTTTCACAATATATGTTTCTCAGTCTTCATGTCTTCTCATGTATATATTCAGTGAAGAAATCCATTCCTTCATTTTTTTCTACTAGTTTTAAGTGGATTAGATCTGTTTTTACATCAAAATCCCATCTAAGAACAAGAGATATGAATATTTCTATTTTCTTTTTTGTTGTTTTATTCCATGTCTTCTTACTCTTAAGAACATATCTATTATTTTTAGTTTCTTCTTTTTCATTTTTATTTTCTCAAATTTAGCCTATGTTTTAAAACGAGGGCATCTATTTTCAATTTAAATTGTCTTGTTGCTAATGTTGATGAAAGAAAATATGAGTTTTGTTGAGATAATTGTGATAAGTAGGTTACATAGTTACTAGATCAGGAGTGAATTAGATCTCAGATCGGGGTCGAGACTGTGGGATCAAGAGATGCACGGAGATCCATGGAATATGGATTGAGATTTGTACACTGTGAGTTAAAGGGTCCTCATAAAATTCTTGTTGGGTATATGTGGCCATTAAAGGCCTTATGAGTTATTGTAATTGAACTTTTTGATATAATGGAACATGCATTCAGTGGGAGTGTGGTCTTGTGTGGACCATACTAAGCAAACGATGTTTGCTGATACCGGACTGAGCTTAACGTGCTAGGTCAGTCGGTTGGGAAAAACTCATGTTACCTGGGCATAAAGAATAACCCGATAAGGGTTATAATGGGTCATCCCTTGATGAGGTTGGAGTATACCCAGATGTGTGAGCCGAGGGACTGTGTGGCCTTGTGTGTGATGGAGGCCTTCAGAGGTAGGGGCCAAAGCCTCATCAATGTACCATCACACGACATGCACATATGATAGTTGTTTTAGGAAAGCGAACCACCTTTCAAGGTGAGGCTTGTGCATGTGCGAGAGATTACCCCTATGCACCATAGAGCTGTGGTTGCATCAGGTTTAGGGAACCTGGGTACGTCTTTAGGGGAGAACCTGAAATCCACAGACTGGGATTACGACCCCTTGCCCATTGGCTAGACTTTGGTAACCCACTAATGAGCCCCTGCATAGACTGTGAGTCATGGGCAACACTGGGTTGGTTTGAGAAAGCAAATGTGGACCGTAGCCCACAGTAGAAGGTGGAGTGCCCCAGTGTTTATTTATTTATTTTTTCCTAGACCATACGGATCCTTTTCCCATCAAAATATTTAATTATGTTTGTTTAATGTTATATGATTTTTAGAATTGTTATTTGAATTTCTCTGAATCCTTGGAGATATTGATTTTACATTGATTTAATTATTCAAATATAATTTTATGAATTTTTAAAAATCATAATATTATTTTAAAATAATTTAATATTTCATGGGAGGCCCAAATATGTATATGAGCCCATTATGGCAATTTGGTGGGGCCCATGAAGTGCCGCCTAGGGTGGCATGCCCCACCTTTTGGATCCTTTCCTTTGTTGTATCAAGCTCATGGCTTGAGGGTGAAGAAAGCTTTTTTTTTAGAAACTTTGTGTTTTGAAGGAAGCTTTGAATTTGAATAAGGAAAGTGTGAGAAGGCTTGTGCATAAAAATAAGAAAGCACAATATTATTTTAGTTATTTTCTTATTTAAATTAATTGATGGGAAAATGGTTTAGGAAATGGGGGAAAAATGTTCTAGCACCTTCCATATGATCTTGATGACCTATCTATGGAATGGAGGGCTCATATCTCTTACCCCACGAGTCACCCAAGATCAATGGTACATATTCAATCTCATAAGAAGAGGCAAACCAGGGAAAACTAAGAGCCCGTTTGGGTATCTGAAAATATATTACAGGGAAATAGATTACTAGGAAATATGACATTTACATTGTTTGGCCACATTTATTAATAAGAAAATGAAAGTAGATTACACAATATTTCCTCAACGATCATGAAATCTATTACACGGGGGGAGGGCTAGGAAATCTTTTACGCGCGTGACGGGTAATCTACTACGAGCGCCTAAAAAACCATTTTCCCTCTCTCTTGCGTACATCCTCTTCTTCCTCTCAAGCTCCCCTTTTCCCACACCACTTCCTTCTCTTTGAAGCTCCCCTTTTCCAGATTCAAGGCCTGCGGGTAAATTATAATGATTACTAAATCTTTTTTTTTAAAAAAAGGTTTTTTTTGGATTGGGGTTTAGATAGAGACAAAAAACTGATAAATTATAATTTTATTTAAATTATAATGATTACTCTTTTGAAAAAAAAAAGATTTTTTGGGATTAGGGTTTAGATACAGATAAAGAAATGATAAATTACTTACACATTTACCTCTTCCAATATCTTAATTTAATATTTAAAATACTTTACCATTCGCAATAAATTTTTATTAAAATACATCACCATTTACTATTTAAACTACAAATTAACGATATTTAAAGGTTGTGACTAAAATAGTTCACTCAATGTTTATGACCAATATTAATTCGCACTATTAAGTTATTATTCTTTGAGGCATGACAAGCATAGTATAGTCATGCTATTTATACATATGCATTTCAATATTAAATAGGAATGTTTACAAAGAGACCATTTATCTTTTGTGAATGGAGGTCACCATCATTCTCAAATATTAGATTTCAAATTGGATTGGCTTGAAGTGAGTCATGAAGTGAATTTTTTTTTTGAAATTTTGTATTTATTCAATGACACTAGTACAACCACCCATTTTGAAATTTGAAGGACAAGAATGAATAGTCTCTTTGTAGGCATTCCTATTTAATTTTGAAATGCTTATGTATAGATAGCATGACTATACCATGCTTGTCATAAGATAAATGGTCTCTTTATAGACAATTCCATATTAAATCGCTCTCTAGTAAGAGCAAATTTAAGGTGCAATGTAGACAATTCCATGTTAAACCGTGTCAAGTAATAGCAATGTATTTCTCAGGTTGCATATAAATACTACCCAAGCAGTAACAATCCATTTGCATGCAATGTATTACGCAGTAATGTATTACGCCAGTAATATATTTCACAGACAATATATTTCCACGTACCCAAACAGCCCCTAAGAAACCCTAAACTTATTCAAACAACTATAAAAAAAGTGGTGCTCTCTCTCATATCTCTTACATCTAAAATCTCTCTTCTCTCTCCTCCCATAGAAAATAGAGGGGCACGCCCCTAGTAGAGTAATTCTCTCTCTCTCTCTCTCTGTCGTTTGTAAAAGAAGGGGGGTACGCCTCATGTCTTGAGATTATCTCTCTCCCTTGACCAAAGTATGGGGCACGCCTCACATAAGAAAGACTATCTCATCTCTCATCTCTCATCTCTCATGACCTAAAAGGTTGGGGTTTAGAAAAGAGATGCTATC